TAAATTCTATATAAAAAAATAGCATGGGTTTATCAACGTTATAGTTTTGTTCCCTCTTATCATGTTATATAGATTACATATATACAACATAGACATATATATTCTTTTTTTTTTCTTTTCCATCATTCCTGAAAAACTACATTTGTAAGCACGTCATTGGGATGTCTATAAGACTACAATATTGCAAAGCTCCACCAGAGGCAAAAAATGTAGCAATTGGTACAAAAAGAAAGAGGGGCAGACCATCTAAAGCCAAAAAAGCTTTGGTCACACAATAATTTTTTGTTATGAAAATATAAAGTTTTTCTTGCTCAAATATGTATTTTTTGTTGCTCACATATGATTTTTTTCTTGCTCAAATATAAATTCATTACTGCAATTTAATGAAGTAATTATTATCCATTTCATAATATAAAATTGCTCAAAAAAAATTTTTTATTGCTCAACAAATTATTGCTAATTCGTATTTTAATTATTGCTCACTTTGATTTTTTAATTGCTCAAATAAATACTAGCCTTTTGTAATTAATAATTTTTGAATTACTTTATAATTTACGCACGTTATCCAGTGGCTATCAAAGAAAGAAACAACGGAAACTCATCATTTTCATTTGTTGATGACAACAAGTTTTATAACAAAACGCTCAATTATTTGTAAATTATCCTAATTTTCATTCTACCACACTTATTCATATTGTTGATAAGACCAGTTTGCTTTCAGAAAAAGAAGATATCGTGAGGAAGACTAATTTGAATCGAAAAACAAGAAGAATATAGTTTTTATTAGTAGCGAACAACATGAGAACAAAACAAAAACATATGTAGACGAATGTAAACAGGATTGAAGAAAAATTATTTGCGCACTACTTCAAGAATCATGCAGTGTGCGCCCGTCTTCGATTCAATCATTAATAATGCCACGTTTCAAAAGAAAAAAAAAATTATAAAGAATTTTTGTTGACTTAAAAACAGAATTTGCATTTTCTACCGTAGTTTTACCACATGAATCGAATGAAGGTTCGAGATGTTATTTCTGAAGTTTGTATTCTTTAAATTGAATATCCTTTTTGAATAAACAAAACATTCCCATGTCTTTAAAAATATCTAAATGTATTGCATACTAATTCACACTTTTGATACATTGCTCCTATATAACTACAGCTTTCAGGTATATTTTAGACTGTAGTTATTTTTCATGGCAATTAAGAGAAGATTTGATGCCAATCTTAGACGACAAAATAAATTAGCGCTAATTATCGGCAATAGTGATTATGTATGTATTAACAAGTTAACAAATCCTACAAATGATGCCAAACAATTGTCATCACTCTTGAAACGTATTGGATTTGGTAATGCTAAAGCGCAACTAAATCAAACATGCGTTGACATGCAACATAGATCTATCGATTTTCAACATTTAATTCAGCCTAATGATATTGTACTATTTTATTTTGCTGGACATGGAGTACAGTGGGAAGTACGTATGATGGATGCTACAATTAATTTATTTCCTTTTCTTTTGTCAATTATTCTTGTTCTATTTTTAGGACCAAAATTATTTGATGCCAATAGACATTCCTAACATAAATAAATTAGATGATGACAAGAAGGGAGATTGTTTAAAAATGAATGCCATCAATGCGCAAGATATTCTTAATCAAATAACTGATCGAAAACCATATGTTACAATATTTCTCTTAGACTGTTGTAGAGAATATGTATTACAAAATCGTAATTTAAAGACGCGTAGTATAAATGAAAACAATTCTAAATCAGGTGGTCTAGCAGCAATGCATAAAGCAGGTTCGCTGATTGCATTTGCTTGTGCTCCTGGTACAGTAGTAGACGATAGACCAAATGAAGAAAATAGTTTATTTGTCAAACATCTTCTCAAACATCTGGCAACTCCAAACGAAGACATTGTAAATATAGCACGTGATGTAACTCATGGAGTGATGGAAGATTCACATGAAGAACAGATTCCATTTTTATGCGTTCAATTAAGACATAAGAATGTATATTTATGTGAAGCTCAAAGTAAGAAATATTTTTTCGAATAGATTGAGAATAGTATCGTTAGAATTTCTCGTTTTTCTTTTTCGAAACGTTTGAAGATACAGAAAGTTTTTAAATTAATACATTCGACACGATATAAACTACCAGTGACTCATGACCGAATAGATAAAATATGTTCATTCTGTTTGAAATAAATGAGTTGGTTTTTTGGTCTATGACAAAAGAGTATTTAAAAGTTTTATTTATAAAACGAATGTCTATGACAGTTATGTTAAGCTATATTATTGATTTCAAGAAGTAATAGTAACCCTCTGCAATTAAAAAGAATAGAATTACATATGTGGTCTAAACGTTACTTTCCATTGGCAAATCAGCAAGTTCTGTTTAATTAGACTAGTATTCGTTTTAACATAGTACGTTTTAAATGAAATTAAAACTAACAGAAATCGAAGGTGTTGTAACGCTGGAAAAATGTCCAAAACAGAATTGATGCCTCCGGTATGGGAAAGGAACATTTTGCACCAACTTGTCATTACGATCTTCCGGTGTTGAAGTTCGTTACGATTTCAGAACATAAGGAAAACAAGACGGGATTCCGGAACTTCGCCAATTTTGACTTTCGCCAATTATTGGCGAAATTCCACAGAATGTATTGGCGAAAGTTCAATGGATCTTCGCCAATTGGCGACTGTCCAACAGATATACTGGTGAATGTCGACTGAACTTTCACCAATTGGCGAATTTCCAAAAGATATACTGACGAATTTCTTACTGCTGCTGCACAAATAGTAACAGGCATATGATTAACAATAGCTATCTGAAAAACTCGAAATCATATCATATATACTAAACTTTTCACCTATGTATTGATATGAACAGATGTTCAATGTGTTATACTTCATAC